AAATGAGAATGTTTGAATGAATATCTGGAAATAGAATAAGTTTCATTCCACAACCGTCCCCCGAGCAGAATAGAATACAAACGACAGAACTGAAGCACCGAGTTTTGCGGTAGCCAGCGAAGCTATAGAAATTATAAACGTTATCAACATTTTTCCGGATTTCTCTCGTCAACGAGAAACAATGCAGCTAGTATCCTGGTAAAAACAGTTAGAATATAAATTCATTACACTTACCTAATTCAGAATACGGACTTCTTATAACGAGCATATACAACTTGCCCAATATGGATGAAACCCTAAATTAAATTCTTTTTGAACAGCATATAATCTCATCAATCGTACAGGCTTAACCAATCCTGCATTAACTCCGAAGATAGGGTCGTCTTTGAATTCTTTTCGCATGCAACCTTCCGGTGATATACGATAGCTTCTCAAAGTTTTCAATGGTTGGTTTTCCTTATCTCTGATTCCTGTTTCTGGATCAACAGTAGTGAGAACGCATCTGAAAGTTATAAAGACACATTATGCTAGTTGAGCAATCGAGACCTTGTGCATGGACAGAAACATTCTAGGCGAACATCACCTATTTTCAACTCAGCCCATTTATCCTCATCATAGGCTGGGCATTTGTCAATAACAATGTTTGGTCGGAACCGCTGATGAGTAACCTGGAGAGCTTCTTCTATGAATTTCCCCTCCTAGATTCAAACTTTTTCCTCCAGACGAGTGTTCAAATCATTCAAAGAACCTTCAGTCATAATGAGATAAGGGGCGAAATCAACATAAGCCACCTGAAAGCCGAATAGAACAGCAAACAAAAAAACTGATAAAAACTTCATCTTTTCTATTTGGAACTGGATTATTCATCCACCATTCTTTTTTTGAAATCATCGTTCTCTCCGAATAAAGATGATCATCATAGGCAACCAATCGAGTATCTTTATGCATTTTGTTTTTTGTTAGAGCTCTTCACTTACTGGGCTCGTCAATAAACTCCGACAGAAGCTTACTGATCTCATCTCCACAGTCATATCCATCCTGCTTCTTTTTATCAAAGAGACTAAAATAAGGGTTTAAAATAGGAACAATCAGATATAAGGTTTACGTTGTTCGAATGATTTTTTTGTTTTTCTTAACTTCATTCAAGTCAATATAGCTTGTTTTACCATCAGGTAGTGAGACTATTAATAGATTATCCTTAATGTCAGCTTCTATCAAAACCATTTTAGGTTTCTGACGAGCTGTATAAAATCTAAATATGGTTTTCAAGAAGTTTTGATTTATATCTTTCTCACAGTCCCGTGTTTCCATCGACAACTTGGAAGTATCTGTCCCTCAATGATCCACACACAACACCCATTTTATCGCAATAGAGTGAGAAGACCTTCATGCAAAAAATCGAACATAAATATATATAAAACCATACACTTTTGCCACTCCAAGACTTCACTGGGTGAATATATAGTTCTTTGATGACTCCGATGGGGACGAATTCATGATCTTTGTTGTTCCATGTACGGAAATAGCGATAAGTCTAGGAAATGTTGTTTTTTTAAAATATCTTTGAAAATTAAAGTACCTGATAAGCAACAAATCCAAATCCCAGAGATAAAGCTAAAGCTTTCTTATTCTCTACTGCCAACAAGTTGCTCATTACTCTCCGAATACCCAAGAGAAGAAATGTTTTTAACGCAGGTCTATTGATAACAGAGAAGATAAGACCAAATGTTCAATAGTAATTGATTACTTTTCTCTTCACCAAAACTTCAAAGTACAACCGCTGATATTTACTAAACTTGGGTTCAGGGCAATCGATCGCTGGAAGCTGTATGGGAAACTGAAAAAAAGAACAACCGCTTCGCACGCTTACAGCTTATGAATATGAACAGGTCAAGTTATGCTAATAATTCCGGGGGTACATCAGACCCCACCCTTCTCTCCTAGTTATTCCAGCTTCAGTGTTTATAAATGAAAATAGAGAGATAGAATAAACAGAATGGTTTCATTTCATCATATAATGTAAAATTTGTGAAAATTCATTTCTCAGAGGATGACCTTCAAAGCAATTCCAATATTGTTTTGTTTTCTAGCCGTTTCCTTTTGTGATGAACATATACTTGCTAGGTATAGATAACTTGTTTCATGCATTAATCAGCAATGTGTTAAGCTGTCGATCATCTACCCATATCCGATGTGCTGATGGGTTAAGTTGCATTCATAAGAAGTTCATGTGTGATGGTAGAATAGATTGTCCCGATCATTCAGATGAGCAATCCCATATTTGTAACAGACGAGGGCTGTCCGGCTCTATCGTAAGTTTATTTCGGAAAAAGTATCAAAGCCAATGATATTGATAGAAATAAAATAAAATATAACAGAAGACAAACACGGTCTAGTACGTTCGCCATATATTTCCAATCAGACTCTAGACGTTTCTCCTTCCTCGAGGATTCGTAGTTCTCCTGGAAAGAATGTACTCAATCGAAATATAGATTCTTCCTTACTTCGAAGAGCAATAGCACTTTGATAACTTCATTAATAGAACATTCCATCTGATTGTATATGGCTAGTTCTTCCATAGAGCCGAAGTTCAAGCTAGACTGAAGAGCCTCCGCTGCAAAGAAGACATGCTTTCGATGTTTCTAGTTTATTATACTACCTTGTTTTCTCATTCGTCTTGCTCGAACTAAACTTTCATTCTGTTGAACAGTGCCTGATATGTACTCAATTGAAGGTGCTGCTTCCTTAAATGAGATTCCTATAGTTCTATGAGAACGTTGCTCGAATTACAGAAATTGCATGAAAATTCTTCTCAACACCTGATGACATCCTCAGAAGCTTAGGCAAAATATGGAGAAAGACTTCTCTTGTCTGAAGTAGTGGTAGTAGTCATACTTCAAATGAGCAACTCATACCCATGGCCCCATTTCTCTGAGTGATCCACTTC